AAAAAAACCCCACAAACAAACAAACAAACAAAAAAATAACCACACCAAAAAAAAAAAAAAAAAAAAAGCCCTGAAGGAAATCATCACAACAGAGACTGAAATATTTGTTTAAACAGTTCTGCAGAAAAAGCTATCGACTTAAAGTTCAAACAAGCAAGTTGATACCAGTCAGAAAAACCTATTAAGGCAAAATAAAGAAGTTCTAAGAGCAAGAGAACAAACAGATTACTCTCACAAGGAATAAATTAATATACAAAGTAACACTAAAAATGGAGAAATATCGCAGATGCACTTTATGTTGGAAGCCAAACATCAACCATGTCAGGCATGCCCTGGGCAACACAAAAGACATGCAAAAACAAGCCACAGGAAAAAATTCTGTTGTCAAACAACACCAGGTGGCTGCAAAAAAGAACTGGGTAATCATCAATATACAAAACATACACGAATTTTTCTCCCACACTCCTTCAGTTAAAAACAAAGCCACTGCCACACATGGTATCACACAGCCCTCAACTGCCAAGACAAAAAAGATCCTTGACCAATACTGGAACTATTACAAAAAACAATCTGTGGTAATCACAACAGAAAACAGGTATCGCCACATGCACAAATTGGTTTCAGTCATATCACAACTACAGGACCTCACCTACTCACCTATATTAATCCCTCTACTTATCTTGCTATTACAGAATTCAAGTGTTTAGTAATATAGCTGAACTCAGTTTTCAACAAAATAGTATTCTACGACATCCAATTCTCTTGATAAATACTAAATTCCTAAAAACATCTAGTGAAGCATAGAGAGCCTGGTCCAGACCAACCTGTATAGAGCTTTTGCTGCTGAGTCTAAATCTCAGAGATTTTTTAAAAACTAATCCCAGGTAAACTTCTTTTATTAAACGCAACCTTAACCAAAACCTGTAACTTCTTTTCCAATACAATTATTTTATGTATTCTATGGAAGCTCACCAGCATTCTATTGAATAGATCTTTTTTTAAGTTTTAATAATATTCTTTCTATAAGCAGTCAATTTTGAGAAATTAGCCTAATTTAATTTGTACGAAACATGCCCCTTTGCAAAATAAAGAACAGAACCACCTTCAACTGGGAGGGATGGGGAGGCTGTCTTTTGTATAAGATGTTATATGAAACAAAGTTCAAGTCTTCCCATATCCAAATTCAAAACTCATGTTATAAAAAATCAAGTATGTTGAAGTGTTTTAAAGGACTGGAGCTGAAGAAATGAAGCCACAAACATGTCTAGTACTAAATTAAGATCAAAAAGCAAAAGGGAATATAAGCAGGATAGCAATCAAACTATTGCATGGGTAGAAGATTAGAGAGCAGTTTCTGGTCTACTGAAATTGCATTTCTTTCTCAGCACACCGACTATTGTCAGTAGATATTCTGTTCTTTCAGAAAAAATGAAAAACAAGACTGACAGCAAAAAGAATGGGAAAAAAAGAAGTCAGAACTGAGACACTACCACCTGAACCTATGCTAAGATTACTTTTTTAAATGAAGGAAAGTAGAGGTAAATAAAAAGATAAATGTCAGACCAAACAACTGGGCCAGATTATGAAATTCAATGAGCAGTTACAGAATAGAGCTGCTATTTTAGAAACTGTTTAATAGGTACTGTTAGGATTATTATGCCTGAACTCATCTGTAATCCCCAAAAGTATAAAATCTCAAAGTGCAGTCTTCCAATTGGACAAGTGTGACAAGCCAAAGGAAGCTTTTCAGTATTTAGAGATTTTTTTTGTCTTACTCAAAAAAGCTAGAGAAAAATGGCATTTGGACAACAGTGATGAACAGATGAGGTTTTATGTTACTACTTTTTCCTGCAAATAAAAAAAAAAAAAAAGTGAGAAGTTCTCACGTTGCCAGAAGGACCACATACACACCTATTAATTCTGAGAATCTAAGAAGACAAAAAAAAGTTTCCCTTGAATATATGACAAATATTTTACAGTGAATTATGTTGTTTCTCCATTTGCACTTTTCCAATTTTATTTAATAATAATTTTATGTTAATACCATGCACACTATCATCAGTTTTTAATTGACAGAGTACATGTTTAATGTGCATTATATAGCTGAGTTAATAATTTAGACTAATGCTTAAAAGTAATTCCTGAACTATATTTCTACAATGGCAAAATACAGCTATAATTACGTACATTAGTTGAGGTTTGAAGGGACCTCTCAAGGTCATCTAGTCTAACAACCCTGCTCACAAGTTGGTGAAGGCCTTGTCTAGTCACCCTTGGAAAGGGTGGTGAATTTACAGTCTATATAGATAACTTGTTCTAGCACTTGATCATCCTCAATTGATATACCAACACATTCATGTTTCAATGCATTCAATTTCATGAATTCCCTGAATTTCAGTTTGTACTCATTTCTTCTCATTCTATCATTGGGCACCACTGAGAAAAGCCTGGCTCCATCTTCTTTACTCATCCCCCAGCCAAATATTTATACACAGTGCCAGCCTCCTCCTCTCCAGGCTGAACAGTTCCACCTCAGTCCCTCATATGCCAGATGCTTAAAGCCTTTAACCAACGTTGCAGTCTTTGCTGGACTCTCTCCAGTATGTCCAAGTCTCTCCTGTACTGGGCAGCTGAGAATGACCCAGCACTCCAGGTACTGAGCAGAGGGAAAGGACCATCTCCCTTGACCTGCTGTCAACATTCTTCCTTCTGCAGTTCAGGAAGCTATTGGCCTTCTTTTCTGCAAGGGCTCATTGCTGGTCCATGGTCACCCTGTCCTTTAGGACACCCCTCAGTTCTTCCTGTGGAAAACTGTTTTCCAGCCAATCAGTCCAGCCTGTTGTTCCTCACCGGCTGTAGGACTTAACATCTCTCTTTGTGGAACTTCACAAGACTGTCTGTCCATTTCTCCAACCTGCCCAGGTACCTCTGATGCACCAGCCCCTCTTT